TGAACTAAAGTAACATCAATTTAGCTAACACCAAAAGTAAAACAGTAGAACGGGAGGTACCAATTCCCGAGAACCAAACCTATGTTGATTTGCAGCCCTCGATATACTTGCAAGCTCACGCACCGCTTCCCACCGCCCTTTGCTGACGCTCGTCCAGGTTGCTCTCCTTTGCTAGTGCTCATGCACCCAACTTGTCTCCAACAACTTTGAGATTTTCCCTGAAAACACAGAAAACACCACGACCCAAAGACCAAAAAGGGCTATCACCGCTACCACTGGTGTAGCACCGAAAGTAACTAGCAGCCGAAATTAACTGAAGAAAAACAACAAGCAAGCTTCTAAAATAGGCGAGGAGATCCGGCAACATAACAACAACAAACCGGTGACCAAACGGGTGCAACTCGATAGCAATGGACAGCGATTGAATCCGCCAAATTCCAGAAATTCTTAAGCTAAAATCTATCTTTGTCTAATTTAAATGAATTTCTAGTGGTAGGGGTACAACCTCTTTCCTAAAGCAATGTAAGGAATAGAAAAGGTTCTTTTTTTGCTATTCTTTCTACTTCCAGCGATTCATATGGCGTTTTATCTTATAATCCTGTTAACTCCTGTTTAGATTAATAATGATGAAGGATGATTTACTCTTTTACAAAAGTTTCATTCACTGTAAATACGTAAACTTTACCTAGTATTGTCACTAATTTTACTTTCTTTTATCACTAAGACTACAAGGACCTAAAATGAGCCCAAAATTGGAATAGCNTTAGCTTTAGATCTATCAGAAAGAGGACAGAGAGATGATTAGGAGAAAAACGGCGACCAAAAGCGAAACAGAGTAGCCGCACCCACCAACTCAGTCGTATAATATTACTCCACCAACTCAGTCGTACAAAATTCGATTTTAAGCAAAACCCAGATGCTAAAATGTGATTTAGAATAAAACCAAGATAATGAATTGGAGCTTACCGGGTTTTTCAGGCTTCGATAGTGAACCAGATTTAGAAGAGAGGGAATATAATAAATGTTGTTAGAGCTATAAGGTCCCCCAAATGGAGTAGATGGCATATTGTAAAATTCCCCACAGTAATAATATTCACGGTAATAAAAATGAAACAATAATGCAGTAATGAGATACGGTAATCAACAAGAATAAAACAGTGACAACGACACCAAAGTTTTACATGGAAAACCCTTCTGAATAAGGGAAAAAACCACGACCCCGAGAGGAGCAACTGATATCACTATAATAAGGAATTTTTCACTTTGTAGGCCCGAGTAAAATACTACAAAGATCACTACAACACTCAAAAGAAATAACCCTCTTTTGATATATTTCCACCTCACTCAAATATCGCTCACACTCTCTATTTTCCTCACAGACTATTTTCTTATACCCTGTCTGTGATGCCTCATTCTTTTTTTCTCTCTTTGTTGGTGTGTTCAAAGAAGTGAAAGAGCTCTCATTTTATAGGAGAAAATACGTAGCATCCAAGAATGCTACAGGAGAATTGTTAATTCTCCTCCACAAATTTAGCCGTTGGCGCCAAGTCTCTTTGCCAACCTATCTATAGGCACATTTCTATTTCATTTGTTCTTTATTTGTTTTAACAACGCGTTGGACCCCACAATCTCCCCCTCCAGACCCATTCACCAGAAGGAGGTAATACCGGGGTTGCTAGTTTGAGTGCATGCCGATAAGTGCTTTGCATAGCTCGAACTTGTCTCTTGCTCTTGGTACCACCTTGGTAAGCATATCCGAAGGATTCTCACTTGTATGGATCTTCTTGTCCTGCATAGATCCATCCTCTATCCTTTCTCAAATTCAGTGATATCTCACGTCGATATACTTCGTCCTTGCATGATACATGATGTTTTTGCTCAAGTCTATTACACTTTGACTGTCGCAATAGACTGTATATTCCTTTTGGTGCAATCCAAATTCTTGAAGAAACCGTTTTAGCCATACCATCTCCTTGCCAACTTTAGTAGCGGCAATATACTCTACTTCAGTTATAGAGAGTGCGACACACTTCTGCAACTTCGACTGCCAGGATTAGCTCCCCCTGAAAATGTGATCAAGTATCCAGAAGATTTACGATTATCAAGATCACCTGCCATATCAGCATCCGTATTGCCCTTCAAGATTGGATTAGATCATCCAAAACACAAGCAATCTCCCGCGGTACCTCTTAGGTACCTGAGTATCCACTTGACTACTTCCCAATATTTTTTTCCTGGATTTACAAGGAACCCGCTAACAACACCAACGGCATGAGCAATATCAGGTCTGGTACATACCATTGCATACATCAAGCTTCTGACGGCTAAAGAATAAGGAACTCTAGCCATGTTCCCTTTCTCCTCCACTGTTGTAGGACACATCTTCTTGCTCAACTTCAGATGACCAGTAAGAGGTGTGCTGACTGGTTTAGCACTTTTCATGTTGAAGTGTTCCAGTACACGTTCAATGTATTTCTCCTCAGATACCCACGACTTTCTGCTTGTTCGCTCTCCAACTATCTTCATCCCCAAAATTTGTTGTGTTGGGCCCAAGTCTTTCATGTCAAATGACTTGGACAAATCTCTCTTCACCGTTGCAATCAACTCCTTGTCTTGTCCTACAATCAATATGTCATCCACATACACAACAACTTATTCATGTTTGACTTTTCATGAATGAGTCAAACTTCATATACCACTGCTTTGGTGCCTGCTTCAACCCATAAAGACTCTTATTCAATTTGCACACCATGTGTTTCATTCCAGCTACTTCAAATCCTTCTACCTGCTCCATATAAATCTCCTCTTCCAAATCTCCATGAAGAAATGCAGTTTTCACATCCAACTGGTCTACTTCAAGATCTAGGCTAGCTGTTAAGCTCAAGTTTGTACGAATAAAAGTAATTTTGACAACAGGTGAGCAAATTTCATCAAAATCAATACCTTTCTTCTTTTTGAAGCCTTTAACTACCAATCGAGCTTTGTATCTAACTAGCTTGCCATTTCCATCTTTCTTGAGTTTAAAGACCCACTTACATTTGAGTGGTCTTTTACCCTTTGGAAGTTCAATCAACTTGTACGTGCCATTTTTCTGTAAAGATTCCATCTCTTCTTGCATAGCTTTCATCTACTGGTTCTTTTCTGGATAGGACAGCACCTCCTTAAGACTTTCTGGCTCCCCCTCATCACTGATGAGTACATACTCTGTG